GTACCGAGTATTTTCCGTCTCAGTTTTCAGTCTATCGTGGGGACAGAGATTACGAAATGTGCAATCAAATTCACGGGGGCGGTGCTCTGATAGCAGTCCGAAGCAATTTAGAATCCTATCGCAGACCTGATATGGAAATTTACAAGGAATCAGTGTGGATCGAAATTAATCTTCACGGACAACAGAATATTCTTCTGGGGAATTACTATTTCCCTCCGCAATGCGACTTTTCCACCTTTAGTTCTTGTATTAATCACGCTTTGAGCATGATAGACTTCGCAAAATACCGTGTTTTTATTACGGGCGATTTTAACCTGCCTGGTGTGAATTGGGACACTGGTATCATAAACTCGTCCAACTCAGAGGTGCGAAGAAAAGCGAATGATTTATCTCAGCTCGTGAACTACTTGGAACTATACCAAAAAAATTTTCTTGTGAACTACAAAGGCAACGTGTTGGATTTGTTCCTTACAAATGATAACGAATGTATACTACAACAAGCTAGCGCCCCACTTGTCCCTGTTGACACCTGGCATGTCCCGTTTGAAGTAGATTTGAGTATAGCTGATAACCAAGGTACAGCATGTCCGCAAGCGACTGCTTTTTCTTATGCAAAGGGGAATTACCTGGAGCTTTACGAGTTTCTTGCGAACACAGATTGGTCAGTCATTACATCAGGTAAAGATGAAGTAGATAAACAAGTACTAATGCTTACAGACCTAGTGACATCAGCTATGAAGATGTTCATTCCGGCTTACGTACATGGTGTCACAAATCACTACCCTTTTTGGTTTTCCCACGAATTGAAACATACAATGAGGAAAAAGCTACGTTATCACAGACATTACAAGCTGACTAATAATCTGTTCTGGTACGAAAAGTTCAAGTCGGAGCGAGCTTTAGCGAAGCGTCTTTATCGTCGGGACCTCCGAAGCCACACTCAAAGTGTTGAATCAAGCCTAAAGCAAAACCCGCAAAGTCTTTGGAAGTATACCAGGAACTTCTCGAATAAAAAGAAAACGGCACAGAAGATAACACTATCTAACGGTTCGGAACATATCAGCAGTCCGAGCGACGTCTGTCAAGCGTTTGCAGATTTCTTTTCTGGTGTTTTTGATTCCACGGGAAATACGTCTCAAACATGCACACTGCCAGACCAGGAAAACGCATACTTATCAATTCCCGAGCTCAGCATTGACGACGTTTTTGCGGCGATTCGGGCGTTACCACCTAAGAAATCGGCTGGAGCCGACGGAATTCCTTTGTTTATAGTGAAAGGGTGCGGTGACGTGTTAGCTCCGATTTTAACTTTTGTATTTAATCGGTCGTTGAAAGATAGGCTTTTTCCAACTGCATGGAAGTACTCTCTAGTTGTGCCAATATTCAAAGATGGGTCGGCACTAACTGTCACTAATTATCGTCCAATTTCACTGATCTGTTCGTTTGCCAAGGTGTTCGAAAAGGCCATGCATTGTCATATCATGCATTTTTTTTCCAGACGTATAAACGTGCAACAACATGGTTTTATGCCAAATCGTTCTGTGGAAACAAACTTAATAGCGTTTACGGAATTTGTGGGTGCCAAACTAGGGTCGAAGCAGCAGGTCGACGCAATTTACTTTGATTTTAAAAAAGCATTTGACCTAGTGAGCCATTCACTGCTAGTTAAGAAACTGGCGTCCTATGGTTTCTCCTTACCACTTTGCGAATGGATTCAGAGCTATCTGCATGACAGATGGAATTCTGTTTCATACGGTGGTGCACAATCAACCGCGTACCTCTCCAAATCGGGAGTCCCGCAGGGTTCTAGCCTATCGCCTCTGCTTTTCAACATCTTCGTGAACGATATTTGCTCATGCATAAATCACTCGGAAATGTTACAATTTGCCGATGACGTTAAGCTTTTCCGAGCTATTGTGGACATTTCTGAGTGCAATAAACTACAGCAAGATATTACAGCATTGGCAGACTGGTGCAAGGACAACAAGTTGGTTCTCAACCCTGCTAAAACAAAAGTCATATCTTTTTCGAGAAAACATTTCTTTAACACCTTTGACTACACTTTGAACAAGTGCTCGATTGAGCGCGTCTCAGTTGTACGTGATCTAGGAGTTTTCTTGGACAGTGAATTTAAATTCTCTGATCATGTGGCATACTTGAGCAATACATGTTACCGTACTTTGGGCGCAATTACCAGAATGACTCGAAACTTTAGAGGATATTCTTGCTTTTTGCATTTGTACTGATCCCTCATCCTGTCTAAACTGGATTTCTCTAGCGTTGTTTGGAATCGTTTAAACCAGACAAACTCGAATGAACTTGAAAATGTACAGAAGAAGTTTGTTCGACTACTTTACGATCGTTATTTTAACAGGCGAATTTATTTCAGCCATGAGCGATTGTTGAAGATTTTAAACCTGCATTGCCTCTCCGAAAGGAGGCAGGCACGAGACTTTTTATTTTTACACAAATGTCTTCACGGTTTCATAGATTGCCCCAAGCTAACCTCATCCGTACTCATTGCTGTACCTGGCAGGTCTCTTCGCTCCCATCGTGTTTTCGGTTCCTCTGATCCAAAAAGCTTAAGACCCATGGAGCGTATCCAGTATAATTTTAAAATGTCAAATGTCGCAAACACGCTCGAAGTAGACATCTTTTTGCGGGAAAGTTTTAGTTTGCGGTCTCTGCTAGTGCTTTTATAATGTGACGCCCTCTTGTATCAGTCTTTTTGGCAAACAGTGTTGTTTTCAACTTTATCCACTTTTCTCATTTACATTTATATTTCACGTTTTTGTTTGTTCAAATTATGTATGCGTTTGCGTGCATCTTTTTTATGCAAAACTGCATGTAGGTGTCAACGGTGCACCCTTATGTAGGCCTATGGGCTGTTTAGGGGCACCGGAAAAGTACAATAAATAAATAAATAAATACAGGAGAGGGCGCTGCGGTCAAATACATATATAATTGCATTAAACTTTGCATGCATTGGCTCAACGTTTATAGACGAGAGGGCGCTGCGGTCAAATGCTCAAATGCGTACATAACCACGTTCCATACCACATATTCTCTTTCTGACATGGATGAGAACGAACGAAAGGCTCGGCATGCTGTGGCTCAGCGTCTACGCAGACAAGCACCACCAGAGCTTGGCTTAATCAACATCATTCACCACGTGGAGATGCGGTCAATTTTTTTTTTTGGTTTTGTCACAAATTAGTTGAAACACCCTGTGTAAACACTGCTCTGCTTGCTTGGGAAAATACCAGAGATGTTGTAGACTGAGTTGGAGGTGCTTAATAGCAGTCTTGGTGAGGAGACTTGCAGAAAGACAAATTGGAAGGCAAAACATTGGCAGGTAGCTGTAATTGTTCTCTCAGGCATAGTTAATATTTAGATCTTTCTTAAGCTCACTCTTGCTGTTAAGTATCTATGTCCCTTTTAGAGTCGGGAGCAAGCAGATTTAATGCTAAGTCGGGAGAGAAAAGAATTTGATGTGAGGCAAGTTTTTGCTTGTGTGTCTGCTTAAGTATGCTGGGGGACTAATGTTCTACTATGCTTTTAAATTTTGTCTTTAATTACAGTTTTTCAAACTGTTACTCAAAGTCTAGTTGACTTTATAGTGATTCTTTACTTTACAATTTTGGAATGCATGATAAGTGCAAAGTGAGTCTTGCAAAACCCAAGCTTTTTACAGCATATTGGTTGCTGAAGTCTTTTTCTATTGACTGTTCTTCGGCTGTACAGGTTGTGGAGCTTTGCTGCTAAGGAGACAAATTATATTGCATGTTGTGAGGTTTTCGGTTTAAATACAATCATGTATCATTAATGTGAACCCCATTAATATGGACACCCTGCATGTAGACAAAATTTTCGGGGACCAATCCAGCCCCCAAAATTGTGCCTCTTTAATATAGAAACCCACAGTCTGGACTATGGACAGTCAGTTCGGGAATGAACTTGGTGAATACATGCATTTTCGTATTGTTATTGTGAAAATAAATTTTCTAAAAATGGTCCACGAACGAAAAAACAAGAACCTAAAAGTGAAGTTTTCGGGTTGCAGTACACTGAGCACTTCAATATTGTCTGCTATTGGTTACCCTTCCTGAGAAAGATACAAGACCCGGGAACCGAAGAATGGTTATATTTTTGGGATTTTCCGGCCAAAGGGTTTACTCCTCCTTCTTTCCCCATGCGCGTCATAGCTGTGGATGACAAACTTAGACATTCATGGGTCATGTACCTTTGTGCTTAAAAGTAATTTACGACACTCTGAAGGAGGTGTCGCAAAAAATAAACAGTACCTTTCGTGGCTATGCATTTGTTTATTATTTGGAATCTTGACCTTGATACTTTATGGACAACTCACATTATGGACGATTTTTTGGGGAACGGAGGTGTCCATATTAATGAGACATCACTCTATGGGTGTTCCTACTGAATGCGATCAAGATCTGATCTGAGCTCTTAGTTTCACAGGTAGAAGGCAGTGCGACTGCTTTCTTGTTTCTTTTGGGATTTTTAATACTGTAGTGCAGTGGTTCTCAAATAGGGGCCCGCTGACCTTTCGGGGTCCGCGACGGCATTCTAGGGGTCCGCAAAGCCCTGCCTCATCAGTTAAGCCCGGCAATAAAAGTTGTATTTCTTTTTAGATTGAGATCAAACGTTTCAATTTTTGGGTGAGTTTTCTCGTCTGTATGTCAATTAGAAAATTCTACTTCAAACTAGCCCTTAGATATATCCATTTATTAAATCATTATCATAATTAACCTATACCTTCCTCTTCCCCTTGCCACGAACGGGGTACTCCATCATCTCCGCCGATCCACAAGAGGTCCGCGAAACATCAGTGGTTGAGAACTACTGTTGTAGTGCACCGACATGTTTGTATTGTTGGAAAGGAATGGCATCTGCTGCATAGATTCAAGTAAAGTAGTTATTAAAACATACATGTTGCAAGTTGTGACTGGCCAGCTGATGTCTGCTTCACACCCTGACAGGACAAGTACAAGCGGTCGCTGGCGGACAGCGAGAACCTCCGGATGCGGATGCTGAAACAGGTGGAAGAGGCTCGGGTCTTTGGCATTCAGAAGTTCTGCAAAGACCTGTTGGATGTGGCAGATGTGCTGGACAGCGCCCTATCAAGCGTGCCTGAGGAGGCCATTGTTCCAGACAACCCACACCTGCACAGTTTGTTCACGGGACTCAAGATGACTCAGGCGCAGATGCAGACGGTGTTTCGACGTCATGGGCTCACTCAGCTCAACCCAATCGGCCTCAAGTTTAACCCAAATGAGCACCAGGCAGTATTCGTGCACCAAGATGCCACCAAGCCACCTGGCACGGTGGCAGTGGTCTCCAAGATAGGCTACAAACTTCAGGACCGCACAATCCGCCCAGCCATGGTGGGCGTGGTGGAGCGAACCTGACGGCGTTTGCTTTCTGGTTTAGATCATCATTGTTTCTCTGTCATAAGTAGTTTTTTTTTGTTTTTTTTTTAGGGGAACGAGTGATCAGCACAGATCGTAGTGTTGTTTTAGGAAAGTTCTCCAAAACTATCTTTGCACAATTTTAGAAAGGTCTACCTGTAAAATACCAAGTAAGTGCCTACCCGAAAGTTGGAGATTATGACAAAAAAAATGGGGTGGGCGCCTGTTAGGTTTGACAGCGTAAAAGAAGGGGCCCATGGTAGGGTAGGCCTTTGCTTCATCTAACGGAACATTATAGGAGCAGTATAGGGATCTGGCAGAACCTTTAATTACAATAAGCAGCCGTGCCACTATTGTCATGTCCACTTCGTGCGAGCGCTCTCGTGTCATGCTTTGCACCGGTGCATGCGCATGAAGCTGCACCACTTAGCACCGGCTTCACGGACAGGCAGCTGGAGTGGAGGAGCACGTTGGTTAGCTCTGTGTGTTCAGGCGTTTGTTGGGATGGGTGCTTGACATGGTCATTTGCTTATATAAAAGATGTTCGAAATGGAAGGGGTGGGCACTTTTTGCGAGGTGGGTGCATTCTTGGTATTTTACAGTAACGACAGGCTTGTGGCCGGATACTGTTGGAAAGTTTTTTTCTACGTTCTAGATAAATTTGACTTTTTCATTCCAACCGACACATGTGAGGGAAAAGAGGGGTGGCCTGCGTCACGGCATAGCTTGATTTCGGCATGAGTGTCGCGTCCAGAAGGTTTTGACTGCGTGTAGCATGGCACCCCATGGGGTGGTCTTTCTAGGGACTGAAACCGGCCCCCGGTTATGCATACAAGTAGCATATGAACTTCGACTTTGGTTGCACAGCACATTAATAATAAAATTTAATTGCTTTGTTACTAACCCTCTATTTTGTCTTTCTTTCTGAATGCCATGTAATGGCTTGAAAGCATTTCCTTGCATATATGAGATATGATCAAAAGGTTCAGAGACTAGCTTTGTAGTAAAAAGAGAGGGCAGCATGGTGATGTGTGTGCAGCTATCGATTGCAGGGACGTTTATGTCATTATGCCAAAGGGCATCATTCTGGGAGCATTTGGAGCTGCTCTACAAGAGTTTTTGTGGCCACGCGTACGAGCGCGTCGGCAATTGCAGCATGGACTTCAACGAGAGCAAAGAGCGAACATCACTTCTGTGTCGAACTTGGCAAATCTGGAACAGAAACCTTAAAATGAGTGCAGGCTTATGATGATAAAGCAATGAATTGTGCGAGGTGTTTCGAGTGGCGGGCACCCTTCAAGAATGGTAGAGCATCACTGGAAGATGTAGAAAAGTTGTGTGACCTTCCCCTACCTCTTCTCGTCTTCCAGTGATGTTCTGCCATTCTTGAAGCATGAACGCCACTCAAGTCACCTTGCACAATTCATTGCTTTTCCGCCACAAGCTTCCCGACTCATTTCGACGTTTATCTTCCAGATTTGCCAAGTTAGATGCAGAATTGATGTTTGCACTTTGCTCTGGTTGTAGTCCATGCTGAAATCACCAATGTGTTCGTACACATGGTCACAAAAACTCGTGTAACACAGATCCAAGTGTTCACAGAACCATGCCCTTTGGCATGATGACACACAAAGCCTTCGACAGCTGCATGCGCATCATTGTGCTGCCCTCTCTTTTTACGCTCCAAAACGAGTCTCTGAATATTTTCACACCTCATATTCATGAACAAATTATTTACTTGCCATGGTGGTGAGCATATATTTTATAATATTATCTTGAAATTATTTTTATTGATTTGGCTTTAATTAGAAATTCTTTTTAGCACAATGTGTATTACTCCACAAAATCTTGCTTACTAGAAAAATTTCTAGAATAGCATTTTTATGAGGAAAATGGGATCAGACCAGCTACATTTCACAAACATCAATAGATTGAGTAAGAGCTTGCTTGTTTTCAGCACAACCTTCTACACCTCTCCCTTTTTAAATTGGTCAGTGGTAGCTCTGCATTTATTTATTTACACAAAGGCCCTTTTGCACATTACATAGGGGGAACTTTCAAGAACAAAAATGACTTTGCACCACCCAGATAGAGCAACACAGCATGTTTCCCCGAGTTTCCTGTGGAACTTCTGCAAACCTCTTGGCTTAATGTATTCATATCAAGTTGAGCAGTCATGAATTTCTTGAGTTTCCTTATCTCTTTAGTGCCATTTGCTAAGGAAGAAAAAAGATACTGCATAAGGGACCATGGAGGAATTTTGTATTTGAAGTTGGGACGTTTAGGTACTTCTGTTTTAGGTCCTCTAAGTGTGTACCAGCTTTTGTGATGGGAGATGTACTTAGACATTTCATGAACCATGGGTGTCTGTAGTGAAATTGAATGTAGATAGAAGTTGATAAAAGTTTGCTAATATCAGATTGTATATGTATATGGGCTGAGTGGAGATAGGAAACTTCAGGGTGTGCAATGCTGCAGTTGCTGATGACTGGTATTGTGACGAAAAGGCACCTCGTCTGAAGCAAATGTAATTTGGCTCGCCAAGAAACATGAATGGCCCGTCTACATAGATAATTTAATTGCCATAAGTTATCGATTGCAGCGCTCCGAGAACTTTGTTGTCCCAGGTGGAAGGGCAGGCAGTTTTCAGGTTGTCCTTTTGCCAGCCTCTCGGACTGCACTCTCTGCCATGTTAGTGCTTAGCTGTTGGTTTGGTTTTCATAATGCCTCTGATGGCAGCTACTGTCTCTTAGCTCAGCTTCAATGTTTTCATGCAATATTGTGCAAGCTGAAGGAGCTAGACGTGTGACCTTCAAAAGAGTGTTAGGGCACTTGAATCATAACTCCTTTCTGAATACATGTGCAGGCACTTCGGATCTAGGCATAAGACCCTCGGATGCGGATAAAATAATGTAATCTATGAATGTGGTTTGGAAGCAGATAGAAAGTGTAAATATGGTTTCATGGGAAGCACTTCTAGGAGATTCGAGTCTACTCTTGCCGAGTGTGAAGATGGGCCAACGTGACCTTGCCGAGTCAAATTTTACAATAGCTCACTCCCGAACATTCTAGATTGAATATTCGAAATACCGAGTGTGGTAGATAAGGAGCTGACCAGATAAGGAGCTGAACGTGGCCTTGCCGACTCGCTCTCTTGTGCTAGCCAGCGGTCACGCTGACACATCGTCGCCTGCTGCTGCCGCCATCAATGCTCGCTGCTGCTTTCTCGACGCTCATTCTTTCTTTTGTTTGTGGCACAAGTTCGCCGATTAAATCTTTAGTTTCAGTTTGCTCTTGTCAAACCTTTGTCATCCGCTCTATTTGCATCTTACCATAGCCTCCTCTATACGAAGAAAGCCTGGCACATCGACGACGGAGCAATAGGGCGCGCGGCCGCAGGAAAAAGGAGAGGAGGAGCGCGCCGAACGGTGACCAATATGGTAGCGCAGAGCAGAAAGGGCAGACCTAGACAGCGAGCGCTTGGGTCATGAGCGGCCGCTCCCCGAACCACGCTTGTTTTTGTGTTTTCATCACCGTCGTTTTCGTACTCCGGGAGAAACGGGCGCGGCGATTCGAAAGGGCGCAGGGAGAAACGGGAAAGGGTGGACGTTAAGTTTCTCCTCTCCACGATAGCGACAAGAAAAGAGAGAGAGAAAAAAAAAAAGATTGTTTCTGCGTTTGGCCGCTCGCTCTTTTGTGGCGCTAGCAGACAAGGTTCTCTCCGCTCCCGTTTCCTCGCCCCTCCTTTCCCATTTACGACGGCCGTCTTTTCTCGCGACGCGCCAGGCTTTATGATCTTACTGACGAGAGATTACTAAACGAAAGTAGGCATGTCTCGTATCAAAGAGTAATTCACTTCCTCCATTGAATATTGCATTCTAGGTCTTCATTCCAGCATTATACTAAATATGTTCACTAATTATGTCTCCAGCAAAATAAGGTCGAGTGTAACCCTGGTGCTTTTTGGCACCAAAGTTACTCGTAAGTCGCAATGTGTCAAAAGTAATTATTTCCACACATATTGAATTCCTTTTTTTTATATTTTTTATTGATGCTTTCACAAGTGTACAAAACGTGGTTCCTCTTCTGCAGGGCGCGATGTTTAAAGGGATACTTCAACGAAATTTGAAATGTATCTGTCGTGTTCAGAAATAGTATGAATATTATCCACAATACCCGTAAATGACAATTGCACGTTTGTATTTTGAGCCTGATTATTTTTTGTTATAAATGACCCTCTGGCAAGTGCTTGGCGAGCAGCCAGAAAAGAGCACATCACATCCGGCACAATCCTGACATAGTTTGCCTCGGGATGAGCAGAGCTGCGGCGAGGCTGACGTCGTCAGGATGCCCTAGCCACCGAAGCGGTCGAAGCACGCCAGTGATCGGGCCACCGCAACTAACTGCAAAGTTGCTTTTGTTTGAATTTTGAATGACGGGTTAATCGGTCTACCATCTTGTAGAGGGAGAATAGCGACGTCTGGGTCACAAAAGACTCCTGGGGCCCTAATCTGGACACTTGGCGGAAAAGTCGGCCAGAAATTCGGCGGCTATGATTGGCCGGCGCCAAGGTCAAGTGTGGCATTGGCCAATCGCGGCCGCCAGATTTCTCGCCGTCGTTTTCGCCAAGCGTCCAGCTTAGGGCCGCTGTTGTGTGGGGAGTTCCTCCCTCCCCTCTTGTGCTGGCCGTAGAGCTGTCGGGATGACGTCAGGTTCAAAGACTGAAAGAGGGCGAGAGAGAAAAGGGGAAAGGACTACCGGCGCTTTGCCCCTTGCTGGGTGTGTAGAAAGAGTGGAAGTCCCGGGGATGAGAGGCTTGGCCGGTGTTGGGGTGTCTGCAGTGCTTAAACTTCGTTCGCGCTTCCTTTTCTGTTATAAACTCGCAAACTTAATTAGGGCCACGGGCTTCAATGGCGACAGTCCCCCGGTCATCGAGACACCATTGCTCGGTCATAGGATGCACGAATAACGACAAAAAGCGTCGAATACTGTTCGAGGACTTATGTAACTTGCATAGAATCCGGCAAGGCGAGAGCAGCTGCAATGTCTTTAGACTTCATCGCTTTCCACATAACCCCGGTCTGTGGCGGCAGTGGATTGCGTCCATAAACCGAAAGACGTTTCCTCAACGCCATTTTCTCGACTGTGCTCGGAAGATTTTGTGAATGGAGCGCGCACCCAACGCTGTACCGCCGACGAACTATACACTCGCAAGGTGCATGCGAGTTTTCTCGTGATAATTGCTGTTTCATCTTGTAAAATTTTGTAACTGAATTTATCTTAATATTGATAATTTGCAGTGGTGACTGACTCGATTTTATCATCTACAACACTTAGTTGAAAGCTCAGTTCCGCCGCCGGGTGAGGCTGAAATTTGTTGAAAAGTTAGTTCCATCGTTTTTCCTGAATCGCAATCTCCAGCGCGATATCAGAAAGCCGGCAAAAGCGCTGCTTGGAGTGCCGCTTTGGGTGCTTTGAAGCGCTGGATAGTTGCTGCAGGGTAGTCTCGTGTGTTGCGATCTGCGTTTTCAAACCCACTATGCACGTTTTTTTGTTCGAGTCATGGAATCCGCCAGTGCGGCGACGGGGGGAACAGCGGGAGCGAACGTGCCAGCGATAGAAATCGGAGGGAACTCAAAATATACTGCATCAATTAGTTTAATATTTCATGGCTGCTTTGAGGCTGCGGTTCGATATAAGTACATCTAGAACGTCTTCGTCATTCCTCCACAAGGAAATATAAGAACACGGACACGCAAGATAAAAGCAGCGCAGCAAAACGATATGTAGCAGCTCCGGGTGTTTACAAAAGTTAATTGAGGTTCCCGTGTCGGTGTATTGTTTGTTGATTACTAAAACGGCTACGGTGAAATAGGCCCATTGCAAGCAAAAATAGATA